AAAAAGACTTGACATCAAAAACGGAAAAGGAAAGAAAAGAAAATTTTAAAACAAAATCAAATAGAAAAGAGAAGAAGACATTATTAAAAACAAACACAATAAAACGAAAGAAAGAAAGACAATAAAACTAATATCGGGGAAAAATTAATATAACATGAAAAAAAACTATATATAACAAAAATAAAATAAAATACAACCTCTTCTCTCTCTATTCTCTCTCTCTCTCTCTCTCTCTCTCTCTCTCTCTCCTCTCCTCTCTCTTTCTACCTGTTTCCTCTCTTCTCTCCCTCTCTCTTCTCTTTTTTCTTTCCTTCTCTCTCTCTCCTCTCTCTCTTCCTACCAACTTCTCTCTCTCTCTCTCCTCTCTCTCTCTCTCTCTCTCTCTCTCCTCTCTTTTCCCTCGTCTCTCTCTCTCTCTCTCTCTCTCTCTCTCTCTCTCTTCTCTCTTCCTCTTTTCCCACTTCTCTCTCTCTCTCTCTCTCTCGCTCGCTTCTCTCTCTCTTCTCTCTGCTCTCTTCTCTCCTCTCTCTCTCTCTCTCTCTCTCTCTCTCCTCTCCTCTCTCTCTCTCTCTCTCTCTCTCTCTCTCTCTCTCTCTCTCTCTCTCTCTCTCCTCCCTCCTCTCCATCCTCTTCTCTCTCTCTCTCTCTCTCTCTCCCTCTCTTTTCCTACCACTTCCTCTCTCTCTCTCTTCTCTCTTCTCTCTCTCTTCTCTCTCTCTCTCTCTCTCTCTCTTTCCTACCACTTTCTCTTCTCTCTCTCTCTCTCCTCCTCGCTCCTCTCTCTCTCTCTCCTTCTCTCTACCTCTTTCTCTCTTCTCTCTCTCTCTCTTCTTCTCTCCTCTTCCTCTCTCATCTCTCTCTTCTCTTCTCTCTCTCTCTCTCATCTCTCATCTCTTCTCTTGCTTCTTGACTCTTGCTGCTTGTTCTTGCTCTTGCTTGCTCTTGCTCATTGCCTGCTCTTGCTCTTGCTCTTGCCTCTGGCTCTTGCTCTCGCTTCTCTCTCTCTCTCTCTCTCTCTTCTCTCATCTCTCTCTCTCTCTCTTCTCTCTCTCGTCTCTCTTCTCTCTTCTAAAATCTCTCTCTCTCTCTCTTCTCTCTCGCTCTCGCTCTCGCTCTCTCTTTCTTTTCTCGCTCTCTCTTCGTCCCTCCTTCTCCCCTCATTTCCCCTTCACCTCCTCATCTCCCCCTCCCTTCCACCCTCCCTCCTTCCCTCCTTCCCTCTCCCTCTAACCTCTTTGGTCATTTCCTCCTGACGAAGCTCCCACGACTGCTTCAGCGCCCGGATCTCCTGCTCCTTCTGCACCTTCATGGACTCCGGCCAGGTGCTTCCTCGGCGTGGAGGGCCGTCCAGCTCGCCCTTGAGCCTCGAGCACTCGGAGCGTAGAGTTTTGTCCGTTCCACTCGGAAGGATGAAGATGTTGAGGGGTTGGGAGGATGAGATGTGGGGGTGGAGGATGAAGATTGTGAGGTCTGCGAGGTGAGGATGTGAGGTGGAGGGTGAGATTAGGTTGGAGGGTGAATAGGTTGGAGAGGGTGGGAGTAGGCAAGGTGGTAAGGAGGTGGAGAGGGAAGGGGGATGCAGGGAGGAGGGAGGGCGGGAGGGGGAGGGAGAGGAAGGGGGAGGAGGGGATTAAGGAGGGAGGGAGAGAGAATAATGAGGGAGAAGGAAAGGCGGGGGCGAGAAGAAGATAGACAGAGGGAGAGGACCGGGACCGCTATAGGTAGAGAGCTTTAAAGAGAATTAGAGGATAGAGAAAGAGAGAAGAGAGAGGTAAGAAGAGATACTGAAAGGGAGTCAAGAGAGAAATTTGAAGAGAGAGAAAGAGAACGAGAGATGAATGAAGAGAGAGAGAAAAAAAAGAGAAGACTGAAAGGAGAGGAACAAATCATTCTCATAAAGTGTAATTAGCAATAAATCTTGCATAAAGACTTTAATCTTTCCCTCTCTCTCTCTCCTCTCTCTCTCTCTCTTCTCTCTCTCTCTTCTCTCTCTCTCTCCTCTCTCTCTCTCTCTCTCTCTCTCTCTCTCTCTCTCTCTGCTCTCTCCCTCTCTCCTCCCTCTCTCTCTCTCTCTCTCTCTCTCTCTCTCTCTCTCTCTCTCTCTCTCTCTCTCTCTCTCTCTCTCTCTCTCTCCTCTCTCTCTCTCTCTCTCCATTACATATATCATCCATCCATTCCTCGTACATACTATATACATACATACACACACACACACACACACACACACACATATATATATATATATTGATAGATAGATAGATAGATAGATAGATAGATAGATAAACATATGAATATATATACATATAGTATCTTAAAAGTGAATAACATTTATATATATAAAGTAAATACTCTACCACCAAAATCCGTAGCGAAGGATTCGAAAATCCCGCCCATTAATCTGTCCTCAAAGGATTAACAGGAGCGCGTGGTATTTATGTGGCAGTGGGGTTGGGAGGGGGGGGGGCGGCCCGGGGGATTTCTCGGGCTGAGCGATCGTGGCGTGTGGGTAGGGTGGGGGTGGGGGTAGAGTGGATTTGGGGGGTTGTGAGGGGAGAGGATTGTGTGTGGGGGGGGGGGTGGGGGAGTATTGTGTGTGTGTTTGTGTTTGTGTTTGTGTGTGTGTGTTGTGTGTGTGTGTGTGTGTTTATGTGTGTGTGTGTGTGTGTGTGCGTGAGTGTGTATGTGCCCGTGTGTGTATGCGTGTGCATTGTGAATCTTAAAAAATAATAATATATAATAAAGAAAAAAAAAAAAAAAAAAAAAAAAAAAAAAAAAAAAAAAAAAAAAATATATATATAATATATATATATATATATAATATATAACATATACATATATATATATACAATATACATATACAAACCAGAAAAATAAATCAATCACCCCAGCCTCCTCACCTCCGCATTGAGCTCGTTCTTCATCTTCTCCTGCTTCTGCCTGAAACTCCGCCTCGGCCTCCTCCTGGTGTCGCTTCGCCCTCACGAGTGTGCTCTGAGGGGGAGAAAGAGGGAGAGAGAGAGGGGAAAGGGGTCAGTTTGTTGAAAGTTTTTGGTTTGGTTCCCCTCTCTTTTTCTCTTTCTTTTTTGGGGGGGGGAGGGGAGGGGGGAGGGTGTTCTTTCTTCGTTCGGGGATGAGAGGGGGGGGGAGGATGGGGGGAGGAGGAGGGGGATGAGAGGAGGAGAGACGTGGAGGATGGGAGGAGAAGGAGGAGAGGGAGGAGAGAGGAAGAGGAGGAGTAGGAGAGGAGGAGGGGGGAGATGAGAGGGGAAGGAGGAGAAGGAGGAGAGGGAGGAGGTAGGAGAAGAAGAGAAGAGAGGGGGGGATGGTGAAGGAGAGAGAGGAGGAGAGAACTAAGTAAGGAGAGAAGAATTGAAGGAGAGAGAAAGATATAGAAAACATTAAGAGGGAGAGAGAGAATAGAGGAAGAAAAAAAGAGTAGAAGGAGATAGGAGGAAGAAGAGACAGAAAAGTAGAAAAGAAGAAGGAATAAGGAGAAAACGAGTAAGAAGAACAGAAGACATCGCTGTGACGTCATACACTAAGATGACTGTTGGACAAAATATCGATGGCCACTCCACACTATTTTTTTTTTTTTCTTTTTTTTTATACAGACATCTACCTTTCCAAATCTCCGTTTTCACAGTTTCGTTGTCTTCCATAGTTCCGTTTTTTTCTTTCTTTCTTTCTTATTTTTGCTTTTCCTTTTTTTTCTTTCTTTCTTTCTTATTTTTTCTTTTCCTTTTTTCTTTCTTCTTCCTTTCTAAATTTTCTTTCCTTTTCTTTCCTTTCCTTTTTTTTGTCTTCTACCCATTTGTGGATACGTGGGAGTCTCTTTACAAGTGAGATAAGTCTACAAGGAAAAGGGGAAAGAAGGAATGAGAAAGACGGGAAGAAAGAGGAAGAGAAGAGAGAGAGAGAGAGAGAGAGAAGAGAGAGAAGTGGAGAGAGAGAGGAGAGAGAGAGAGAGAGAGAGAGAGAGAGAGAGAGAGAGAGAGAGAGAGAGAGAGAGAGACAGAGAGAGAGAGAGAGAGAAGACAGAGAGACAGAGAGACAGAGAGACAGAGAGACAGAACAGAGAACAGAGAGAAACAGAAAGACAGAGAGACAGAGACAGACAGAGAGAGATAACCAAACAGACAGAAAACAAAGAAACAAACAACCACACAAACAACCAAAACAGAGACAGAGACAAAAAAAACAAAGAAAAAATACAGACAGAGAATATAAACAAAAAAAAACAAATAGAAAAAATAAAATAAAGTACAGAGCAAAAACTCCATTACCAGCACAGGAAACGACCCATTTGCCTTTTATATTTTCCATTTGCTCCCATTTCGAATGCTCACTCCAGAAAAATCACAAAAATAGATAAATAGAGAAAGATAATATCAAATAGATAAATAACTCGATAGATTGATCAATAGTAAATAGATAAACAGATAGATTAGATAAATAGAGAGAGATACAGATAGATAAATAAATAACTCGTTAGATTAGATAAATAGAGAAAGATACAGTCAAATAGATAAATTAGATAACTCGATAGATTAAATAAAATAGAGAAAGATACAGTCATAATAGATAAATGAGATAACTCGATAGATTTAAATAAAAATAGAGAAAGATACATCAAATAGATAAATAGATAACTCGATAGATTAAATAAATAGAGAAAGATACTATCAAATAGATAAATAGATAACTCGATAGATTAAATAAATAGAGAAAGATACTATCAAATAGATAAATAGATAACTCGATAGATTAGATAAATAGAGAAGAAAGATACTATCAAATAGATAAATAGGTAACATTGATAGATTAAATAAATAGTGAAAGATACTATGAAACAGATAAAATAGATAACTCGATAGATTAGATGAAGTAGAAAAAGATACTATCAAATAGATAAATTGATAACTCGATAGATTAATAAATAGAGAAAGATACTATCAAATAGATAAATAATAACTCGATAGATTAGATAAATAGAGAAAGATACTATCAAATAGATAAATAGATAACTCGATAGATTAAATAAATAGAGAAAAATACTATCAAATAGATAAATAGTAACTTGATAGATTAAATAAATAGTGAGATACTATGAAACAGATAATAAATAACTCGATAATTAGATGAATAGAGAAAGATAGAAAATAGATAAAGATAACTCGATAGATTAGAAAATAGAGAAAGATACTATAAATAGAATAATAAATAACTCGATAGATTAGATAAATAGAGAAAGATACTCTCAAATAGATAAATAGATAACTCGATAGATTAAATAAATAGAGAAAGATACTATCAAATAGATAAATAGATAACTCGATAGATCAAATAATTATAACCTAATAAACAAATAAGAATATGTAAATGGATATATAAATAAACAAATAATTAAGCAAAGAAATAAACAAATAAAAAAAATAGATATATAAACAAACAAATGAATAAATAAATGAATAAGCAAACAAATTAATGAATAAACAAACAGCTAAACAAGTAACTAAATAATCAAACAAACAAACAAAAACTATAATAAACAAACAGAGACAACCTATAAAAAAAATAAAACAAACAAATTTACTCAGAAAATTATCATATTTGGAAGAAAAAAGTTATTAAAGAACTGTTCACGTTATTGAAAGACAGAGAACAAAAAAAAATAAAGGCGATTAGAAAAGTTATTTCAGATAACTTATGTTCTCGAGGTTCTCTCTTTTCTTCTTTTCTTTTTTTCTTCTTCTACTTTTTCTTTTTCTTCTTCTTCTTCTCCTTCTTTGCTTTTGCTCTTTCTTCTTCCATTCTTCTTCTTCTTCTTTTCTCTTTTTCTTCTATTTTTCTCTTTCTTCTTCTTCTTCTCCTTCTCTTCTTCTCCTTTTTCTTTTCTTTTTCTTCTTTTTCTTTCTTTCTTCTTATTTTTTATTTTCTTATTCTTCTTTTTCTTTTTCTTCTTCTTTTTCGTCTTCTTCTTCTTCTTCTTTTTCTTTTTTTCTTCTTTTTTCCTTCTCCTTCTCTTTCTTCTTCTTCTCCTTCATCTTCTTATTCTTATTCTGCTTCTTATTATTAGTATTACTCGTCTCTTCTCTTCTTCTTCTTCCCTCCTCCTGCTGCTTCTTCTCCTCTCCTCCTCACCCTTTTGTCCTCCTTCCCTACTTCTATTACCGTCTCCGTTATTATATTACTTTCTCATCTCTGTTTTCCGTTTTATCTTCATCTCCTCTTCCTTTCTTTTACAAAGGAAGATGACTACACAAGAGACACGTACACAAATCTAACATAGACCCAAAAACAACTTTTATATGCATAGAATCAAACTGTATACATATATATAACATACATACAAAAAAAAAAAAAAAAATAATATATATATATATATATATAGTATATATATATATATATAATATATATATATATATATATATTATATATATATACTATATATATATATATATATAATATATATATATATATATATATATATATATACTATATATATATATAATATATATAATATACTATATATATATATATATATATATATATGCACGAATATATTAGCCAGAAATGCTTTTACATTACACCGAAATGATGTTAGACGTAACAAATAGTTTATTAAGTACTTTTATATCATGTAATACATGTTACATCACAATAATTCTGCTTCCACTATTTACCTCACTTACCTTGATTTCGTCTCGCTGTAGCACTGTTCTCGGTTTCGCAATAAACAACATGCAGGTGAAACGCAGGCAAAAAAAAAAACAGGTGAGTAATAACAATTTGTGATTTACTGAAAGGACTAATGTTTATTCTGACTGCAAGTGCTGTTCAGAATCTCTTTCTTGAGATTAAGAAAGTACAGCGTGATCTAAGGTGAGTCGGATGTCAAGGCTATAAAAGCTGGTTTCCATATGACGTTATATATTTGAAGGAATCAGGTTATATTAATCAGGAAATCACGTTATATATATATATATATATATATATATATATATATATATATTATATATATATATATATATATATATATATATATATATATATATATATATATATATATATATACATATGTACATATATATATATATATATATTGTTGTGTGTGTGTGCGCATGCGTGAGCGTGTGTGTAACATACCCACACGCCCCGAAGACACACGAAATCCCCACCCACGCTGCCCAGCCCATCCGCCCCCGCCCAGCCTACCTCGCCGCCCACCTGCTCGCTGCCTCCGCCCCGCCCCCGCCCCCACCCACCTGCCGTTGGGCTGCGTCGCCGCCGCCTTCTTCAGCCCGCGCACCTCCTCCTCCAGTATTTTCTCGCGCATCTTGAGGTGCTCCATCTCTCGCGCGGAGGCTCTCAGGGCCTTCTGCAGCTCGTGCGTGACCCCGCGGAGCTGGATGACCTCGGCCTCGTAGCTCTTCAGGTGACCCACCTCGGGAACACAAGGTCAGGGAGGGTCAAACATGCCGGGGGAGGATGGGGAAGGGGGAGGGAGGGGGAGGGATGAGAGGGGGGAGTAGGGGGATAAAGAAAGGAGGGAGAGGGGGATAAGAAAGGAAGAGGATGGAGGAGGAGATAAATGAGGATAAGGGAGGAGGAGGAGGAGGAGAGAGAGGAAAGAATGAGGAGGAGAGATATAAATAAGGATAAGGGAAAAAGAAGAAGAACAAGAAGGGGAAGGAGGGAACTAAGCACAAGGAGGAAGTGAAAGCAAGAAAAAAACAGAGAAGAAGAAGAAGAAAAGAGAATAAAAAGAAGAAAGAGAAGGGAAGCAGGGAGTGGATCGAAGGCAATTTTGAGGGCAAGTTATAGGACTCTCAAACAGGATTACCTTTTGCCCCATAGGCCTAAGCCAGGATGAGGAGAGGGGAAAGGGAAGCCAAGGAGGCCTCGATTTAAAGCGCTTAAGGCCTATCGGAGGATGGAAGGAAGGGGAAGGAGGAAGATGGAGGGAAGGGAGGGAAGGAGGGGGAGGGGGA